ATGATTTACAATATTATGCCAATAGACTACCCATGCAGAATCTAAATTACAATTTCCACAAGCTTACAAGCAAACGGCAATCTGGTGAAAGAGATGTATCACTAATTGTCCATCGCAAGCTTCTTGCCCGGATGTCCTTTTGTACTTTCCATCCATTATCAACATTATATATTCTAATATGACTTCCCTGTTCAGAACAGAATAACAGCCTGTTAACCCAATAGAACAAGCTTCTATGAAAATTGGGTAATTATTAAGACCTTCATAGGCCCTGAATACATGGCGCTTTATAGCAGAGGGTACCTGAAATCCTGCCACAAATAGAGAACCGTCTGCAGAAAACTGCGAAATGTATGCACAACTATTCATTTTATCGATTTCTGAAGGACCATTAACTGGCAAATACCTACTCAAGATATGACAAGAGTCTGCCAAAGAAAATCTCCCTCTTCCACTATAATTACATTCCCTGCCGGCCAACATTTTCACTGGAGAAACAGGCAGTCTCCCCTTACCAGGAGCTACCCAGCTCAGCCGCTCACTCGGGCTTGATGTAATCTTCGTAAGTTGTGCAATTTCAGCATCACCACAACCCAAGACGACATTTCCATGATATCCTCCAGCCTCCTTACCCACAGAAATATCATTATACCTTCTAGACCTACTCATTTTATAGTATTATATCTATTCCACAACTACTACAACAACAATATCAAAAAGTGAAATAACAATAGACCCTTCTATATGCAGCAAAATACTGAATTGAGCTCTTCTAAATCACTATTCGTCTCTTTCTTTTAACGAGTCTTCAAAGTTTCCTCAAACCATTCCTGCAAAACGTGATTCAGATTGTGAGAACTAATTTGAATCCATAAATTCCCAAAATCCATGACGAGTAAATTTACACAGAAAAGGATTACAATTATCTTTGACAAAAATAACAAGATTTAGCAAGAAAGAAAGAAAATTCAACCGTGTAAAAGCTTTCAACCATTCAAACAATCAGAATTAGATACACAAAATACAGCAACAAGATGAATCACTACAACATAACAGTTCGCAGTCGGGTGAAGACTGACTCGATATATAGCTGGCATACGTGAGCAATGACGCATACCTGAAATGGGTTTTCAAAGTTTCGGCAGAAATTAAATTTTGTATGTATTTTGGGACACAATTTGAGTCCACCGTAGTGTACGCGAGGGAATTCGCGATTGGCAACAGAATCCCACGAAAGTAAAGGAGTAATTTATATGGGAAAATTGCAGCTGTCACCCCAATCTTTCAACCTTTTTACACTATTGCGACGGAGCAGGATGGAACCGGAAAAGCTACTAGAGATTTAATGAGAATTAAACTCTTGTTTTATCGCTCCATTTACTATTTTATTTTAATTTTTCAAAAATATAAATTTATAATTTAATGATTGGACTATGTTTTCTATCACCATCCTGATTCTTGGATCGGGTGGAACTTAATTTGAAAATTGTTGTTAATTATAAAAAGAAATTTCATTCCAAAATTTTTTTATAGGTCCGTAACGTATTAAACTATAAATACACTCAAACTTTAACTAAGTTAAAAATGTAAATAACATAGAAATAAGATATGTCACCAATACACATGGCCTTACATTCGATGTTCAAATCACCTTAGTTAACTTGGTCCTAAATGCAATCCTCAAGCACCAATATTGCGCATAAATATGGAATTGTTAACGAGAATATGACTAGTGAGTCGAAAATGAAACTGATGTTGACTTAGGTACACGAGTTTTTGGTGGGGTATCTAAAAGGGTTGGAGAAAATTATTTCTTTCTTTAATTTTTTTCTTTTATCCTTTTAACAATTTTTTTCCTTTCAATATTGAAGTTAATATATCCATGCTTGAATTCAAGACACGCTCGATTAAAGTGTATTTTTGGACAGAAATTGTTAGTGGGAAGTGAAGCCACTAACAAATGAACGGTTCAAGATAGCGCTATCAACAAATGAAAGTTAGAGAAAAAGGTACAAACATGAGGACTGCGTTGCAATTTCCCTCTTATAATTGATGAGATATCTGGTAAATGGGCTGTAGACTAATGAAGGGTCAATATGAAGGACTTAATTGATTAGGGCCCATTCGGTGGTAGCCATTAAAGTCCAAAGCACCGTGTTTGATACGTTTTTCTTAAGGGAAAATTACCTGAAAACTTATATTTAAAGACTAATTTTAAAAAAAATAAAGAATTTAAATTTCATTTCAAAAATCAGGTGATAATTAAATTTCAATAATTAGACTTAATAAAATCTAATTTAACCTAACCCCACGCTCTCCCCTCGGCCCCATTCCCAATCCCATTTATCCCTAACCCTCATCCTCACCCTACTCTCTCTCTCTCTCTCTAACCTCTCTCTCTACCCACGAACCACATCGGAGGCAGCATCGTTGTTGGCGCGACCACAACATCACACCGTCGATGAACAACTGCACGATGCGGTATCTCAAAATCCAATTCATTTTTACCCTCACCCTCATCCTCTTCTTTCTCTCTAACCTCTCTCTCTCTACCCACGAACCACACGGAGGCGACGCCATTGTTGGCGCGACCACAACATCACACCGTCGACGAATAGCAGTACAATATGGACTTGACCCAACCTATTTGTTGAAATCATACCCCGTTTGCCGCACTGAAATGCAAACACACACAAACGAAGCGAACGGTGGTGTCATCCTCATGTTTGAAGATTTGAGAGCGGTGGCGTCATCTCCGGCATCACGATGCAGTAGCTTAGGGTATTTTCATGCTACCGTGGTTTTTAGTAGCGGTGGTATAATAGTTCTTCTTTACGGTGGTTTTCATGCCTAGGTGATGGGGGTACTGTGGTGGTGGGATGTTGATGGTGGTGGTGAATCTGCTGGGGGTGAGGTGGTGGTGTTGGTGCTTATTATGGTGGTTTGGGATGGTTTTGGTTTTGAGGTGATGGCTTTGTTGTATATGGTGGTGACTGATTTTTGTTGGTGGCAGTGGCAATGGATATGACGGTTGGGGCGATTTTTGAATTTGGTGGTGGTGGTCTTGGTCATGGTGCTGGCGTATGTAGCAATGCTGCTAGATTATATTGATGGTGGGGTGGTGTGGTGTGGTGTGGTGTGGCGCGAAGCCATGCCAATGATTTTTTTTTTTTTTTTTAACGAGGTGTCCCAGCTTGCGCCAGACTACATCCTCGTCCCTGAACCTCCGGCCCCTCAACTGCTCGGGGAGGTAAATCGCAGGATGTGCCCTTGTTGGTTCCCACATGGCTTTTACTCCTTCCCCAAAGGGAGCCTCCTCCATGGTGATTAATCCACCAATAATTCCTCCTTTATTGGATCAAACATGCCAATGATTTTGTTGCTTGTATTACATGTGGTTATGGTGAGATAATGTACGTTTAGTTGCCAATGTTGGGAATGGTGGTGAGTGACCAAATTTATTTTCATTGTGATTGCCCGTGACCATATTTGTGTTAATTGTACCTGTATGTGACTTGGTTACATATAGTCACAAATTAGACTAACATGGTTATAGACGGTCACATCGAAAACAAATTTGGTCATGAACACATAATGTCACAGTTTATACGTTACGGGTCATAATTCATTGTTGATGTCACATTTCACTGGTCACAGGTTTTGAGTTCACAAGCCACTGTCATTTTATGTCACAGATCAATATTAACAGGTTACGAGTCGTTTTGTAGAAGTCACTAATCAAATTTATGGGTCACATAATGTCACAAATTCAATAGAATGGATCACAGATCACAATGTGCACATGTCACAGATCCAATAAAATTTGTCACAAGTCATTATCAAAAAAGAAGAAAAAAGAAAAAAGGTAGTCGGAAAAGTGCGCGATCGTCGAAATGGTTGTCAGAGCCATTGTCGGGAAGTCGTCGAGATATTCGTCGGAGCCGTCGTCGAAATTGTCGTCGGAACTATCGTCGAAGGTGGGTGGTTGTGGAGAGAGAGAGAGAGGAGGTTTTGATGTGATGGATGGATGGGTTGGAGGTGGGTGGCGTAAGTAGATTAATTAAACTATATTATAATTAAGTATTTAATAAAATCAATTATCATCTAATTTTTGAAAGATTTACAGAAATTTGTTAATTTTGAAATGTGCTTTTTGAATGGAGAATTTATGTGGTGTCCCTTTTCTCAAATAAGTAAAAATTTTGAGTTTAATTCATGTTTATTTGGTGATACTTTTTTAAGTGTTTATAGGATTTCTGGAATAATAATTTGAAACTAAGCAGTGAATTAAATATGTGAAAAAAAAATAGTATATTTGATAAGCTTAAGTTAAAATTTAAATACCTTAATTGGCAAAACTTGTTCTCTTTAGCAAAATTGAAAAATAATACATTTACAAGCATCATGATAACCTAGACCATCACCATCGAACACCACTAAATACCACGTAAAAATCACCACCTCACCACTCTTATCAACTACCATGATAACCTAGACCATCACCATCAATGTGTTTCCTCATACTAGAAGCCACCACAAACCAAAACCAAAATTTACCAAACTCTAACCATGAACCAGCCACTATTGTTACCTAACAGCCATGATGGCGTCATTGCTTCAACCAACCATAGCCACCAAATTCACAGAGATCACAAGACATCGTGGCACCATGGGCTGCAAATGCCTCTAACCATGTAGCATGTTGTCATTGAATTTTAAAAATAACTACTCTTTTTCACCGACACTTTCTTGCTCAACAAATCCTGGAATCCAAAATTTACAGTGAAAAAATAATAATAATAATAAATCGGACGACTATTCATTATTATTTTGTATTAAATTCTTTATATTGTCAAGTGCAGTGCACCAAACGTGGCCAAAACGAATGACATTTCTCTCAAAATTAATAGATTTTCAACCAATAAAAGTCATTTCATTTATGTCAGATCACTCAATTAAACCACCAATTGCTAAGAAAAGGATTACATATACTTCTTGAGAGAAGACAATATTTATCATTTTCATCTCATGAACCCAAATCTAATTCTCTTGTACAAAGAACCAGTGTGCCATAAACCGTTACATTATCTTAACATGGAACATATATACAAGGTCACTCCGAGGCCGATAATATTTCATGTCATAAACACGGGATCACATGCATCTTCCCCGTCACTTTTGCTCAAACACGGACAAATTCAACAAAGCTGCCTCAATCTATGCAACTTGTTTGGTAAGGTAGGTTGTATAATAGTGAACAATATTAAGGATGAAAAAAGCAGCAGCAGGAAAAGACGTGTTTATTATACTGTCTAGTATGGTCAGCCACCGTGTACCAGATATGCACTAGGAGTCGTCGAACAAACACCTTGCAATAGTGGTAGCAAGCTCACTGACCTTCTGAGGGTGGAGAACAACTGCACATATTCCAAAACAAACACCAACAGCAGCAATTGCAAAGACGAGTGGATGAGAGATCACAACTGTCATTGTAAATAAGCGACTGCAAGACTTTCCCGGCCTTTCCTCAAGGTTTACACTCATCAGAAGCTCTCCATTCAAAAGGGGAACAGTTGCACTTTCACCTAGAGAAGGTAAAGCCACTCTTGACTCCAAGTTATTCTTTGCCCATTTGAGACCCTGCAAAATGTCCAAATTGCCATCCCATTTACTAAAATAAGATGTGTATTTACTAACAAACACAATAGGTGCTTGTTTAGTAGTCTTTTTAAGTGCTTATAAACTGTGAGTCCTACTGAACGTGTGGATAATAAGTTAGTTTGACATGTGGATCCTATGAAACATACTGATAAAAAATATGTTTGACCAGCTTAAATTATAATTTAAGCTTTGCCAAACAAGCAATAGGTAGCTGATGTCCTCACCTGATTGGTAGCTGGAACAGGAGGACTATCATGTTGGGAGATTTGACTGAAAAAATTTCCATCCAACGCATGCCTTACTGAATATTTTTTTTCCTCTAGTGTCTGATGAAGTACATTTCTCACATTATCCATATTTACCCGTAATAACTTCATATCAGCATCAGAAATTCCAACCACAAAATTATTATCCATCTTAGATTTCATGCAGTGTAATATTCTCTCCAAAATGACGGCAGATTCTCGTTCTATCAGAAAATTCAGTAAATAGTTGAATCTTTGTACTTGAGTAGATGTCAGCGGTTGCTCTGATATGGGTTTTTTGAGTGACCATGCTACCTCCAAAAGAAACCTCGAGAACTCAGCTTGTCTTGTGGCCAAAATTTCACATGCAGACCTCAGGGAAAACTGTTGTTCTTCGGAGCCAAGAGACGTATTAAAATTTTTTTGCAACAGCTCCATTTCTACACAAACTTCCTTGTTCCCAATAAGAATAGGAATGAAATTTGATAAACCAGACAGATTCTCAACCTACAAAATGTAAAAACCACAGCCTAATTAAAATGAGAATGCAACCATTTGGAAAGGCATTTTGAAACAATGTCTAACCATTTTTCTTATGAGTCGAATTTGATGCAAGATTTCTTAAAACGGATTCAATGCGTTTTGAAATTGAGTGGTTTAAAATAACTTGAATGCAAAGCAACATATTTGGACAAAGGTTCAAATGCTCATCTGCAATGAAACACAGCACTGGCAAAAAGGGATTCATGTACCCTAACCCAAATTTATGGGGTCTATGGCTGTTTTATTAATGTTGTAAAATGACTGTAACGGTTTCTTGTCTCTATCATGAGATGAGTAGAACAGGTAAACATAATATTATGTACAGACTGAAGAGACAGCAAACGGTGAAAGAGGTGCTCGCTCTCAGATTCACCTCAATAAATGCAGGGCCAAAAAGATAGAGATCAGTTGGAGGGACATATATTTTCAGTAACTGGTGGTCAACACTGTTGGTGTCCCCTTCTTTCTTACAGCCAATGGAAGAAACACAAATATTATATGCCAGATACTGTCCGCCAAATGATACAAGAAACCTGATACGACCATAAAATGATTTAGGGCAATCTAGAAAAATATTACATAAACTTGATTCTATGAAATGGAACAACTGAGCGAATAATCAAGTGTGGATATTTTTCAAAGAGTAACAAACCAATCTCAAAACCCTAGCCGAATGCAATTTCTAGCTTACCTATTCAATCAGCCAATTTTAAAGACTAATCAATTTCTTAGATTATGCAGCCATCATTTGTACAAGAGACAAAGCCACTGTTGGGCCCCCATTAAAAATTATAATTCATTTTTCTCTCGCTTATTATCAACCACACATTCTCCAATAAAATTATATTACATATAATTCCAAAACTTTTTCTTCTTTTTAACCACACATTCTTCAAAAAAACACTATTCCAACCATTAAAATTTCATATAATGGGGGCCAAACAAGGGAAAAATTATCTCTGACTTTTAAATCTTCACCTCATTTATCTTCTTGAAAGTCAAGGCAACAAAGCAATATCTAGCATACCTTTTACGTCAGCCAATTATAAAAACTAATCAGTTTCATAGACTATGCAGCCATCATTTGTTGAACAGACAAAATTATCTTGCGATTTTTAAATCTTCACCCCCATTTATCTTCTTGGAAGTACAAGGCAACAAGCATAACAGTTTGATATTCAAAAGTTTTCTAACACTTCCTCATATCCATGAAGAACTATCCACCTTCATGGCCAAAACCGCAAAAAGCACACAGAGAATCCCCTACCCCCTCCCGTCTCCGCATTTCATTCTGTCACCCCTTCAATCTCCCACCTGTTAGAGGGCTACGCTATTAAGATAACGATTGCAAAATAGGTAGTAAGATAAATTAGACAACTTATGAGAGCTCAAGTATCAATGAAAGTTGATCAGATTTTTACAGAAAGTATAAGAAAAAAGAAAATGTTTTCTTAAAAACTGCAAAAAGAAACTTTAGCAAAATCTTTCCAAACTGAAAAGGCATCTCTACCGAAATTTTGGTTGAAGGAGATTGGTTCCACAAGCTACAAACTCCAAAGGCTTCCCAGCTTCAAAGCATGTTGGATAAACGTAATGAAGCTTTGGAGCTTGTTCATTCACCTTGACTTCCACTACACAATCATCTGTTTCCACAAAGTCAAACACTGTGTTAGTAACAAGTCACAGTAAACAAAGGTCTTGATGTTCACATAATTCATATCCTTTGGGCGAGTCACGCACCAAAGTATGCCAAACTATTATATCTTTGACATCAAAGAAACTTGAACATTTCCTGTTTCTTTCCTTGTTCAGTTTTATATCAAAATGCTTTCTCAATTGTCCATGATTTTATCATGAAATGTTCAAAAAAGGATGTAATCAATATTTGTGAAGCTCCTAAGAGAGCAATATTGAATGAAAATAAAAATTTGAGAAGCCAACAAACCTTTAGTGACACGAAATATCTTGTTATATAGATATACATGCATTCTTCCAGACAGCATGTTTCCAGGAGAGGCGAGAAGTTCTTGTATACATTTGGCCGGCTCCTCCAATAACTGACACAATGATATTAAATAATTTGTCCAAGATCAAAATTTCACCAAAACTTATAAAGCTAAGATAATCGCGTATTAAACAAAACATAAAAAGATGTCATCACTATTTCAATGAATTGAATGAAATTTGAAGTTTTATCTAACCCTCAAATTGGTGCGCAAGAAAAGCGATAAAAGTATCCACTTAGATGTTGCATTACATAAAGCGAATGCTGAACTTCGGTCCCCCAAAATGACACTCTTTAGGAACCATGCCTTCCAGAGCTACAAGAAAATCTCTGAACTCCTTAAAATTTCACTTAAGTAGTTGCTCCAGTTTAGGTTGTTCATAGTTTTTTTTGTGGAAGATTGGCAATGAAAAGGACTAATTGGGCTAATGCTAATTCCAGATACATACACAACTCTTCTGAGAGCTGAGGGGTAAGATATTGCAATCTCTACATACAAATATCTAACATTCATCATTATGTTCTATCATATATGCTTTCCAATTATCAGGTAATGTGGTATTAAAGACGAATAATACTTCGACTATGCCAAACATGCCCTTCATGTCAATGAAGTGGCTCACGACTTCGATTCCATGTAGGAATTATGTGGCTGCAACTTCTTAAAGTTCAAAAACTGACTGAAATGACCACACAGCCTTCAGTGTCGTGATGCACGTCTGGTGTTATCCGATTGCCAAAAATGGACGGAAATTAGGTTTTCGATTTTCGGTTGGGGAAGCAAAGTTTTATTTACCACTTTCATTATCAAATCTATGATATTAGCAACTGAACACTGGCAAGTTCAAAGTGCAGTTAATTTACTTATGGAGTATCTTTATAATCATAGGCGCAAGGCTCAGTACAAATGAGTAAACATTCAACATTACTAATTAACTTCAGTCCAACAGATGAATGGGAAAGAATAAATCCAAATTACCTTGAGCCACATTACTTTGGGCACTGCAATAAAAGCAGTCAAAATTGTACAACCTGGACGGATATACCCCTCCAGTTCAACAGGCATGCTGGCCAACCACTCAAATATCTGCACAAGTATTTACAAGCGTGTTATTTAAAACCTCACATCTTTGATACCAAGAACATTTAACCTCTCCTTTATGTACTAAACTGTAATATTAATCTTTAGAATACTTGGTGCCGAAGTCGACGAGGAAACTCAGCAGGATTCCAATCATAGAGCTTGAATGAGATCCGAACAGCAGGGCACTACAATATGTAAAAGTAGTTATGCTTTGCAACTGCTACAGTAATATTTTACACACTGGAGCATTGGACCTACCAAAGAGGAGAAAGAGCTATTGTTCTCACAATAGGAAGGGGAATATTTCTGTTTGGGTTTCTCTTTCTCCCCATCAAGATGAGTTTCACCAGAAGCAGCAAACGCCAAAAAAGTATCCCTCTGGATAGTCTGGGAACCAAGTCCTGAGTTTATTGTCGACATATGTCCTTCAGACTCTAACAATATTTCCGGTTCTGCAATCTGACTGCTCAAGCATATGCTATCTGTGCCATATAGAATTCAACAACTTCAACAGTGCAAAATAGTGAACATCGAATTTCAGGATAAACAATGCACGCATGAATGGATATAACAAATAGCGATCATAGCCCGGCAAAAATGTATACTTTGCCAAACATACATAAAATCATCCACTCCTACTGACATGTCTAGGCAAAAGAAATATAGAGAAATTAATGGAGGAGAGACTGTCAGAAACTTTTCATGGAGAATCACCATGTTGATAAAAGTTCATACCTTTTCCCTTGTCAGCATTGCAGCTGACATCATCAACTAAAACAACCTGCAGAGACTCCTTCTCAGTGCTTCCTTTAGAATCATTGGGTCTTCTTCGACGTCTATTATTGTGGCGTTCCAATTTTCTGCGACAACTACGTTTACCCTCATCGAAATCTGACAAAATGTGAAACCTGCCAAGGGTAGAAACATTAGCATGAGCAAGTATAAATGATAACTAAGTGCCATTAATCCTAGCCAGCCAAAGTAATGGTCATGTTCATCTTTTTCACAGTTCCAATATAAATAACCAAAAGACTTAAATAGCATGCACATCTAACTGTTTCTAAAAAATCTAACGAAGTAGTTATGCTGAAAATCAGAAACTGCAATTCTTTCACTAGTACCATGTACAATTTTAAACTTAATCCAAGAGTTACCATACAAATATAAATATCTAGCCTTAACTTACATTTCCACAAAATAATGAAGCAGCAGCCTGCAGATTAAAGAAAAGGTCACTTGAATTGCCCATTTCGTATTTTTGAAATTCAACAAATTATTTCCAGACAAAGGTTCCCCAACTTATTCCCACTGTGATATTATCATTTACAGGAATAAAGATTCTTTCACGAGGCAGATTGCTTCAAGTACAGATAGACCAAATATTCCACAAAAAATGTATGGAATAAAACCTGAGTGCATAAATTGCTTCAAGATTTTTAATTTAATTCTTATCCCGCCAGAAGTTTTATTTTAATTTGATTCAAGTGTCTAAGCTCCTTTCCCAATTTTTCAGTGAATCAATCAGCCTAATCTTAAACCTATGAGATTCTTTGCTCCACAATGATTCTTTCCATTCCAACACAAGTATTTATAGCTCTTAACCCAGGCATTCAAACAAAAAATTCTCAACAAAGGTTCCTCGTCAAAAAGCGATATTCATTACAATACTTAAAATTAGTGATTAATTATCATCAATATCATATAACCACAACGGAACTCTGAAAGCAATTATGTGCACATATTACATGTGTACATAATTTTCCCGGATTCATAGTGACATGCAGAATATTAATAGTTATCTGTGCATTATTTGCATTTTTAATCACCGACCCTGCCTTATGATATCCCCAGGTTGTGCATGTTCTTTTACATGTGTATATGCATCTAAACCAGAACCCAACCTTTAAGGCAAAAGACAAGACTTGAACTGCAAGTACCATTCTGCGTTGATTTTATAGATACGAAAACAAAAACAGTAAAATGTAAATGAGCATATCAACCTTGCAATCCAATTCAGAAAATCATATTTTTCATTTGTCTCTACGTGACCTTCTTAAATGTGAATAAATAAAAATAAGTCAATCTATAACTAAATCTCTCTTCGCCAATCTATCCCAGTACAACATAATGACAAATTAAAACTTATCAAACCTAAAAATCATATTTTATCACCTTTACTCCTGTATTTAATTTTTTACTTCCTAGCCTACAATTAAAAAGAGCTAAACTATTAATCGTGGTTTATGTTTCTTCTTTTCTTTGTTTGTTTCAAGAAATCTGTCGTTTCCAACACCTCCTTTTTCCCTTTATTCTTTTTTCAGATAGTATAAAGTACAGTAGCCGCATAATAGATAAAAGGAAAATTTATTTTTGCCCACCATAGCTTTCTGTATAAAACTCATTTCGTCATCAATTCATTTACGAATACAACTCCATAAAAGCATATAAAACATAAAAAATCATATCTAAAGGGTAGACAAATTTACTCAACACTTAAACATAAGCTCACTTTCCACATTGTTGGCAATATCTCTTGCTCTCTCCATCAAGAACCACCACACTAGCATTGGCGCACTGCAAGCAGACCCTGTGCCTCTTATGGTATCCTTTGAGCTTGCTAATATCGGCCTCACACTCCGGGACCTGGCACCTGGCCGTGGCTCCAACGGGGACCCTGACAGTCCGAACCCGCTTCTTACCCGACTGATCCCCACTTTCCTCCTCCTCCAGCTTAGCATCCAGCTCCGGGCAAGCACACGGGATCCGCCCCGCCAAAAAATTCGAGCAGACCAATCTTGGGTCCCTCTTCCTCACCCTGGTTGAATTTTTGGGCTGTTGACTTTGGGGCTGAATAGGGTCAACACCGGGTCCAGATTCTGATTCGGGTCCATGGATGGCTTGTGGGTCAAAGGCGAGGTTCAGATTGTCATCGAGGTCGAAATCAAGAAAATTGGACCAGTCAAAGAGGGAGGCAGAGGTAGGATCACCGGTGATATTACCATCGTCGGTGGACGGAAATTCAAGGATTTGTAGCAAGTCCGACGGAGTTTCCGTGTGTTTTTGTTGCATTTTCTTCGCCTGAAAAATGGGAGAAATGGACTTGGAAGTTCTTGGGAGAAGTAAGAGTCAGAGGCGAGTGAGGCGGGAGAATCGTTAGGTGGCGACACGGAGACATTAGATTCCCTAAGCGGGAATTATTGGATGCTATGCGAGCACTAATGATGATGACCTTTGGTAAAATAAAAAAAAAGTTGACCCCAACCCGCCCCGTCTATAGAGATTTGTGGGGGAGATAAATCGTGGGATGTGTTCCAGCAGATCAAAGAATAAAAGCTGTCTGTACATTGTGCCTACAAAGAGTCCAATTTCATATTTCAGGAATCGAACCCCCACATTGCAGCTGCCAACAAACCGTGAAATAACCTCATTCGTGTCCTTTGCACCACTACACTATGTCCCGAGGGCGGTAAAATACATTGATAACATGATAATTAAAGCAACTCTATTGCCAAATATTTACTATTCATTTTAGTGGAATACCCCCTAGATGTCATTTTTCGTGCGAAATTCCTCAGACGTTTCATTTGGTGCAAAGCTCTTTAAATCATTCAAACTTTGACCCTCTTTTTCTTTTAATTTTTTCTTCTCACTTTTATTTTAAATCACACAATTTTTCATAAATTAATATTACATGTAAATAAAATAAAAAATCTTACTTTTTTAACCACACATTCTACATAAAAAAACACTATTTCATACATTAAAAATTGAAAAAAGGGAGGGGGGTCAAACGGAGGATTAATACTTAATCGTTAAAAATAGTAAAGATGGCCAGTAATATAAGAGTAATTGACACAATACACTATCATGTTACTTATTTTACACAATATTCCCTAAGCTTTCATTTTGGCGCAAAATTCCTCTAAATAAATCAAAAAAATTAAGAAACAATTGTAGCCAGAGTCTCAAATCTTTTCAAAATACTTAGATGATTATAACTAATAAAAAAAACCATATTTTAAAAAGGGAAAAAATATTATCTTTCCCAACACGCGCACACCCTATCCCCCGTCCCCATCCCAAATTACTTTGTTTCTAAGTTCCTATTTGGGGCACATCATTTGTTTCCTTAAAATGAGAATTCTCGTCGTTTCGCACATAGCTAGGCCCCACACAAGAGATGGGAAGTCAACGAAGCCAACTGGATGTGATCGTTAACGGTCAAAATTTTCATTTTTTTGTCCAATAATGTGTCTCAAACAGGCCTTAAATATTTCCACCACTGAACGGCGACACCACCATGTCTGTAGTAATTGTAGACAAGTTAACAATGGCATACATCAAGTATAGAAAATCATGCACCAGAAATTACCTTTTAATCACCACCATCTCCAAAACAAAACTAAATACCACCACTCACTCTAAATTCACAATTTTCTATCTCTTTTCTTTCTCATCTACCACCGCCACCTCCAAACACCAACGATAACCCCATCAACACTACCGCCATCATCTCCTCCAAGAAGAAGAAATTCACATCTTCAACACTCAAAGGATTGGGTTGCGTTACCTCATAGGTCTCTATGCCTGTAGTCATAAGGACCTCAACCAATTGTAATGTTAAGAAAGTGAAAAAGAAGAAGATAAATAGAGAACAAAAAAAAAATAAGAAAAAGAAAAGGCCAAACTATCCATTAATAACAACTTTCTTGTTACTGTTACGTTGTTACTATCGTTGACATTGTTATCAAGTTGTGTGTGTGTGCCTGATGTTTAGCATGGACCTGGGATTGGGGTTGCCATTGGAATTTGATATGCCTAATATTTGGTATGGACTTGGCATTTTCATAATGACAAAGAAATGATGAATTTAGAGTTGATGGGGAGGCTTTTAGATCAATTTGATTTGTTACAGAGGTGAGAGAGTGGTTTGGAGGGAACAGGATAGGATAGGGATGGGAAATGTGAGGGTGTTTGTAAAGATGAAAGGATAGTTAGGCTCATTTACATATTTACAAAATGTTGGAGACTCTGACTGCAATTGCTTCCTATTTTTGTTTCTTTAAATTTATTTAAACGGGATGGTAAATTCATCATTTTACAATACTTTTATTTAGAAAGAGGATGAAAAGATTGTATTCCAAAAAAAAAGGATGATTTAGGGAGGTTTTGCGTTAAAATGAAAGGTTATGGGTAGGAGTGGGCGTAGGTTGAGTTGGATCGATTTTTATCTCAACCTAAACCTAACCCAACGTGGTCAGTTTTAGTAATGTTCAACCCAACCCAACCAAATGTCGATCGGGTTGGGTTGGGTTGGTCGGGTTGGGATAACCTATCAACAAAAATTAAAGTCGTCAAAATACTAAATTTAAAGCAACATTTATATAGTCTTCTAACATCAATAAGCTTAAAACATATAATGGTATAATCCACCAAATACACATCAAATAACTATCCAATAACAATTACATATCTAATTACAAAGCTATAGTACCGAGGCAAAAAACTATTGGCACAAACAAAAATTTGCTGGGGAAAAAAACCAGCCACCAAACAAATTAATTCTTGTACCACAAAACAAAAACCATCAATCAAATAACCATTGGCACTTGACACAAACGAAATAATTATCCAATAACTATTGGCACTTGGCACAAACAAAAACTAGACATGAAACAAATTAATTCTTGTGCCCTTGATCATCTTCATTCAATTTTGAGTTCATTGATTCCAATTCTACAAAAAAAAAAAAAAAGGTTGATTAAGTTGACAACAAAATACATAGATATAAAGTCAAAATAACAAAATTTATGAAAAAAATACATATTACCTTCATCTAACTGGTTGTAATGCTCAACATCTTCCATGTGGAAACCATCTAACTGTGGAGAAGCTTTCAACCAATTTTGTGTGCATACCAAGACTTCTACCATTTTAGGACTTAATGAACTACGAAAAGAATAAAAGGATCCTTCCTCCGGTGCTAAAAGCACTTTCTGAAGCAACGGTTGAAACTTGAATTGCCAACACATCCTTAGCAAGATTAGACAAAACACCGTACTTACTTTTGTTAAGCTTCCACCAATCGAGAACATCAAAGTCCTTGTTCTCTATGCTTTCACGAGCATCGAGTAAGTATCTTTCCACATCATTTTTTATTTCAGCATAATCTTTTACAGCTTGTTTTTTCAAAAATCTAGAAAGACAAGCATCACTCATAGAAGAAGAACTGTCTTTATTTGTACCGAAAGAACTTAAAGACTCGTCAGTTGATACTTGACTACTTCCATGAACACCTTCACATGCCACATGCCACTCATAAATATCCATGAAATTTTCTTTCAAAGATTTCATCATGTTACTAACAACTTCCTCATCCATGTATAGAACACTAAAACAATATTTAACATAATCTATTTTATATCTTGAATCAAAGATAGTAGCAATAAGCAACAACTGATTCACATTTTCCATTTTACCCCAATACTTTTTGAACTTCTTCTTCATGTTAGTCGCCATTTCACCCAATAAAAAATTACCACTCAATCTCCATTCATCCAATTCGATTACAATATTACAAATTTCATGAAGAGAAGCACAAGCACTAACATGCAATGAAGAACTAAAAGTCAAAGTCACTTCAAAAAAATTTTAAGACACTTGACAAATACAGATCCATTTTTCCAATCTAAATTTGAAGGAGGTCCACCTCTCTTTTTACCACCATCATCTTCTCGAAAGTAATGCAAATATTGAACATCCTCTTCTTCTAACCTATCAAAAGCTTTCTCAAATTTCAATGTCGTTTCCAACATCAAATAGGTAGAATTTCACCTAGTTGGAACATCCAAAAATACAATAGACTTGCAATCGATCTTCTCTTTTCTCGTACACTCTTTCAATTTTTCATACCTAGCAGGAGAAGATTTTACGTATTGATTGCATTGCGGATATTCACAATGGAGTCATGTACTTCCCTCAACCCCTCACAAACAATCAAGTTTATAATGTGTGCACAACACCTCAAGTGCAAATATCTTCCATCTAGAACACATCCATCACTACCCCAAGCAATCAACTTCCTCCTAAGATAAGCGATAGCCACATCACTAGATCTTGCATTATCAACAATGATTGTTAAAACTTTCTCAATTCCCCAATCTTGCAAACAAGTATCAATCATTTTCCCAATCATTTCTCCTTTGTGATTTGGAACAACACAAAAATTCAAAATACGCTTATTAAGTGTCCAATTAGAATCAATAAAATGTACTGTAAGAGACATGTAATTAACATTTTGAATGGAAGTCCAAGTATCAGTTGTGAGGGAAATCCTTTGACGGTGAAAAGAAAAGACTTCTCTCAATTTCAGTTTTTCATCTAAATACAATTGATAGATGTCTCTAACAAGAGTCCTCCGAGATGGAGCCTTAAATTGAGGACATGCTACACTACAAAAGAGCTTAAAATCCTGACCTTCAACAAACCTAAAAGGTAATTCATCCAATACAACCATCTTAGCACATGCAACTCTACACTCTTCTTTACTTCAACCAATAGCAACAAGATTGCTCCCGCCACCCTCTTTTTTGTTCTCAAAAGAAAAGATTTTTTGCTTCTTATCCACCAATCTACCAGGATACTTCTTACATTGATTTGTCAAATGATTGCCCAATGTGCTAGTATCACACTTCTTAGTGCCACAAGTATAATCTACCCCACAGTAGTTACATTTACACCTAACATCTGGATCATCCCTTGATCCCAAAAGCGTAAAGTGACCCTAAACATATGAAGCTAATCTATTAGATTTTCGTTTACCTAATGTTGACGGTGCACGTGGAGGAATACTTGCTTGCAAATCTATGTCATTTGATAGAGATTCTGTGCCAAGTACTTCACAATCATCGATATCTACAAACATATTCCACCAAAATTATAAAACAACCAAATAGATGTATTTAATAAAAATAACAATGCAATACAACAAAGCAGTAATACAACACCTATGGCTGTGTCCATTTCCTAAAGTGATGTTAATTTTGCACGACCTCAAAGCTGAATTGACTTTAGTTGTCTACAAACTCTGCATCAATAATTGGTCCCAAATCTTTAGTTTAGTAATATAATATTTGACATCAGACAGTAAGAATAAGATACTGGGAAGTGGGAACAATAAATCAAACAATAAACAGGGTATGCATAT